CGCCTCTCGGGGGGGCGCCTTTTTTTTTTTTTTTTTTGGCGGGGGGGGGGGGGGGGGGGGGGGGGGGGGTTTTTTTTTTTTTCGCTTGCCTTGGCGGGGGGTTCTTTTTGGGGGGGGGGGGGGGGATAGCGCAGCGCAGGGTGGATTTATTGCGTTTGGCATCAACGCTGCAAGGTGTGCAACAGAAAACCATGTGGGAAGTTTGTTCGAATGTCACCACGAGGTGCACATTTGCGGGAGAGGTTGGGGACACCGATCATCTGCGACGGAGTCACGAACTAATTTTGTCAGCCGAGAAACAGGCAAGTGCACAGGGAGCATACAGCATTGGGCAGGTGGACAAGTTCCGTCGACAAATGATGGCAGCAATGCTTGATCTGCCACGCCTTGTGGCGCCATAACCACTCTCCTTCAACATCTACTCTTCGTTCCGAATGTAGGGGTTGGTGCGGTGGTATTTAGCAAGGCACGCGGTTTTTAGCGAATCTGGATAACACCGCAGCGGCTTGAAGGCTCGAGGCGAAGCGCACGCATTCACAAGACCGGTCTCAAAAGTGCGCAACCACGGCCGTAAATCCACAAACACGCAATTTTTTTTGTAAATGAGCTTTTACTCTTATTCCCCCCCCACCTGGGCGCAAGTAGCGGCGGATGTCGGCTGGCCCAACTTTCGAACGAGGTTCCTTACAAACGATGGAGGGGCGCTCGGCGAGAAGAGCAGGCGGTTACGCAGCGACTCGAGGGACTCGTCCCGGCACTCGGTCGTGGCTATCGATCTGACCCCCGAAAAAGGAGAGGAAAAAGAAACAAACAAAGGAACGGGAAAAAAAAAAAAAATGATCACCAACGGTGGTGATGACAGGGAGTACGAAATCAGTTAACTAAAAAGGGGTTGTGTCCAATATTCAATCTTGCTTCCGAACGGTTATAATATTTCCAACCAGCACGGCAAGATCTTTCGGTATCCCAAGCCAAATCATCGCTTCGACCGCGATGCTCGAACACCAAAGAGGTGAGTACACAACCGGCGCTACGGGCGCTGTGTACCTATCGACAACCCCAAGGGCAGTGATGCTCTTACCCCAGGGAGACCAGCGTGTCGCAAGGGCAGTCGTGCACCAGCAGCCTGCCTGTCCTCGACCGAAGAGGCGCCCCGTCCACCCCCATCGCCAGCCGCTTCGCCGCAAAAGTCGCGTCCCTCACAACCCCCTCCCGGTCCACCGCTACCTGCGCACGTCACCCACCGTTCGTGCAACAAGGATCAGAATCCCAACTGCCTTTTCGTACAGCAGTCTACGCAGGCCCTTCTAAGCAAGCAAGCATACTGGATGAAGTATAGGAGCGGCAAAAAGTTGGGGTTGGGGTTAGGGTTAGGGTTGGTTAATGTCTGCGTGCCCCCTCCCTGGTCTGTTTCGTACTAAAATAACCTTACTTTCTTTGCGTAGGCAGTCACTAAATAGTCTACGCAGGTTTCGTTGGTAAAGCAAACATACTGGATTAAGTATAGAATCGGTTAGTTGGGGGTTAGGGATAGGGTCTGCGTGCCCCCCTCCCTGGTCGTACTAACCTTACTTTCTGTACGTGAGGCAGCCGTTATCGTATGTCAGAGTGAGCGCACCATATAGTGCTGCGGTGGCATCAACGCTCTGAGTGCCACTACAAAAACGATCGTTGTGTGTTTTAGAGGAGGGAAAGTGGTGCTCTTGTGGTCGAGTTCCCCAAAGAGAGAGAGAGGGAAAGAAGGGAACTTTGTTGTGTGGGGACTCTGGGATTGTTTGGTCGGGGATGGTGGAAGAGGCACTTGGCCGTAGGGGAGATGTCGGCAACACCCCACTCTTGGAGAAACGGGCGCTATTGAACGTGGAGGTTGCTCACGCCTTCGCCTTGGCATGACGGATTGCGTTCGGAGAGCGCCCAAGCGCGAAAGAGTAAAATCTATTCCAACACGGTCGTGGGCTCTCTGTAGGGCGCGCGGGTGGCTGACATAGAGGGTGAAATCAATCGGGAACCCACTACCACTCAAGACATCGAGCGTCCGATTTTCATGAAATAAGAAATACAAGAACTTGACCCTTGCCATACTAACTCCTACATATTCCCTGTTGTCTCCCAGCTGATGAGTAAGGAGCGAAGGGCTGAGCAAATTAAGAGATTCCTAAGCGTTGGCGCGTTCAGTGTCTGCCTGCGCAAAGGTGTGTTTTCTTGCTCCGCTGACGTCGAAAAGTATCCTTTCGTTATGGGTGAGAGAGGCTGCATTGTTCAGCGCGTGGCTCATCGACACCTACTGAGCTGCACCAACGAGGCTTGCCGTCTAACCTACCTGTACTCCTGACATGTGGTTGCCTATACCAGGCGTCTACACCCGCGATGTTGGTGCCTTTCGGTGGGCGCTCCGCTGAATCATGCGCGGGACCCACGCGTGGCTTTGTGCGTGACATAACCAAAATCACCTTGTTTGCAAGTCCCCACAAAACCCTTTTCATTATTGTTTCAGAAACGACAAGGCATCGATGACGACAAGATCTCACAGCGGACGCTTTCCTATAAGGGACGGGTCGGCTATTCGCCCACAACTACGGCTGCAGTTGCACCCCAACAAAAGTGGGCCAACCCTCAAAAGCAACCTCAGTCAAGTCCCTACAGCGTGGTGCCCTCACAACTTGGGCGGGGTCGTTTCTTGAAGTTGTATAGAGCGCTGAAGGTCAAAATTTCGGGACGATCGTCCGGAGAATTCCAAACAAAACTTGGAGGTAGGTACGTAGATGTACTTACGCCGGGCGAATTTGCTCGGTAAATCTAGACGAGTCCGCTTCACCGGAACGACCCTCGTAGGGGCGATCCCAAATTTCAACAACCCCTTCAACGCTATACTACCTATGCATACGTCATCCACTTCTGGCGAAGTCTCGAGCGAGTTCGTCACTCCTTCGAAGGTGTACATGTATCAGCGTGAAGTTTGGTGCTTCGAGCTGCGAAACGGGCTTGATTGAATTAACAGCTATTTATATATAGCACGGCGTTTGTCAGGTTTGTAGCGAAACCAGGGCCAATCAAATGTCTGCGCGCGTCTCGAACATAACATGCTCGCGGCCTCCTGCTGGTTTCATAGCCATGTATCCATCTGTGTGCGGAGTACGTGTAGATGAATTGTATGCCCTTGTCCCTTCATGGTGCCGAGTCCCTTTCGTTGTTGGAAGCATATCTGCGAGAATGGAGAAGGCAGTGGTCGAGTTTCCACGTGTTTGGGTCTGTGCGGAAGGGGTTGAATTGTCTACCCCCCCCCCCTCTTGTTCCCCTTCCTCAGCTGCTGCCCGTTGCTGTGTACTGTGCGTGCATCCACCACACCCACACACCACGGCGGTGGCTTGTGTTGCGATTCGAGTCTTGCAGGGCGAGATCCACGTGGTTATCGAAGCTATCAATGTAGATGTCCCGCACATGCATGCGATAGTTTTTCCCACCAGCCGCGGCAGCACCTAAAACTGAACCCGTTTTAGCCTTTCATGCAACGCAGCAACACACTCTCGTGTCGTTCGGGGTCTTTCGTAAGGCGAGATACAGCAGAGGATACCAAGTGTGTTAAGTAGGGAAGCCTTTCTGCAAGAGAGAGAAGGCAGTGTTCGGTTTCCACTCGAGTGGTTTCGCGCTACATGTATAGCGGCGGGATTTTGCACCTGTTTGCCCCCGTCAGCCGCTGCTGCGTGCTGTGTGTGCATCACTCAACTACACGCTCCTTCCAGTGCTTGTGAATCGATCGGGGTCGTGTGTAGCGAGATCCAGGTGGCTGGGTAAGCAAGGCTATCTTGCCCAAAAGCGGTGGCTGTACTGTTTCCTCCGCCGGCCGAGGCAGCAGCAAAACTGTACCGTTTCGGCTTCACGACGAGCCCTGCAACGCCACAACACACTCGTTCATGTCATGTGTCGATTGGAGTCTCGTAGGACGAGATCAACTGGTGGGGTAAAGAGGGCTTATCTGTGAATATGATGAATACCCCACAGATGGGGTGGGTGTTCGATTTTTCCCCGCGGGTGGGATATAGACTATACTTAGCCGCGCCGAAAATAATATAAAAAAAATAAAAATATCATTGAAAAAAGGGTGTGTCTTGCCGTGTATGAATTGATAGGTACTCCCCATCAAGCCATCAAGGCACTGCAAGTAAGCTGCTGGGGTGTATGCGAGCTTCTGGGTAAAGCTGCTGCTGCCGAAAAGGACATTTCTCTCGTTGCTTCTTCTGCTGAAAAAGAGAGCCAGCGAGGCGGGTGTGAACAATGTTCGAAGTTCAAAGGTCGGCGGGGAAGGGACCGCCAGCAGTCCCTCAATGCGTGGTACGTAGAACCAGTCGTCCCAACTCTTTGCTAAATAATGCATCTTGTTTGAGTGTCCTTCGACGTGTCGATCGTTTCAGTCCAGAAGGATACGCGGGGTATACACAAAAATAACTCTGCTGACGCGGCAGAAGCACGCCGGTCGAGTGTCACGTGGTCACACCCTTCAGGGATCAAGAATTGTGATATAAAGTGGTTGTTCCTTCGAAACACGGACCAAATCCCTGGAAAACACAAACTATATATGAAGGCACCCATCCAACGAACAACATGTTTGCTCTGACGTTGTACACACCTGGACGTCGCACACACAGCCGCAGCCCGCTCCACACCCTTGCCCATGGCGCAAGAGAGCAGGCCTGCCCCTCTGCACCTCAGCAGCGGAGGGCAACGCCGCCGGCGAGCGCAGCAAATTTTGGGGCGCTCTGGCGTGCAGGGCAAACACTTCCCGCCGTAGCGCATGGAGATACTTCATAGTGCGCGTGCGTGTGTGTTGCCCGTCGTGTGTTGCTTTTTCTGTCGAGGAGCGGGGCTACACGCACGACATACATGCACCGCACGCTCTGTTGTTGGTTCCAAACACAACGAACGGCGAATTTCTCGAAAAAAAAATGACGAACGAGTACGTCACCCACAGAATCTTGGGAGGCATGCTGAGCCGGCGGTGTCAGGGGTTAGCGGGAATATCGAAATTGTAATTTTTTTTTGTTGTTGTAATTTTCGTGGATGCAAGAGACGGTTGTACCAGCATCAAGCAGAGCCTACAAGGACATAGGTTCTGACATTTCGTGTTGCACGTCAGGGCTTAAGGTAGAAAGCAGCAAGCTGAGTCTGGAACTCGTTTAATTGATGTTTCCCCTGTCCTTGGCAACCCCCTTCTGAAGATTAATTATGATTCGTCGAACACGCCGGGTGCATTCTGATCTTCTGATGTTCATCATTCAAGGACTGTTCACGCCGAGCCAATCAAAACAAAATGCGAGGATCAGCGCCTCAAATTGGTGCTGACTCACATCAACTGAGGTGGAGAATGCACACGACAGGCGGAGAAAGAAGCGCACGAACGGCCACCCCCCGCACCCCCACAGCCTAACCCTAACCCAAAATCTCAACTCGCCCTCAGCACCTCCTTCCCCTACCAGCCCACACACCAGCAGAGACGGTCGTGCCGCATCCCATCGCTCCTACCGTCGGCGCCACGGCTACTGGTGCTCCTGCCGCTTCACTTGGACGATGTGCATCTGCAAGCGATCATCTCCCAAATCGAACTCCACGCGCACCATCAACAAAAACATGCCGCCACCGCCGCCCCCTCCACCCAGGCACTCTTCCGCCCGCGACAACAGAGGCAGGCGTTCGCCCAACGCCACGCCCCCCGCTGCTGCCCACGACGGCGCCGGCGCTAGCAGGCAGGCTCCAGCGGTGTCGATGGACCAGATCTCGAGTATCCTCGACCCCTTCTTCGTTGACACGTGCCAATTTTTCAAGCAGCAATCTTCACCGCCGCCACGGCAACAAGCGCCTGCTACAACCGTCGGCACCACCACAAACGACTACGACTACGCCGCCGCCGCCGCCGCCGACACCACCGACGCCGCCGCCACCGACCAACCGTGGCGAATGGAGAACGCCTTCCTGTCGGGGGTGGAGGCAACCGCCTATGATGCTCAGAGCGGTGCTCAAGAGGGTGACGCCACTGCTGCTGGTGCCGTTGACGTTGGCAGAAACGAAAACGGCGCGCGTGCGTTGCAAAACGTGCTGGGTTCCGGGAGCTCCGCTTGGTTGGAGACGGTCCGAGACATGGAGGCAGAGAAGAACGACATGCTTCGGTTAGACGTAAGATCGCCCAATTAGACCTGGGACACGCATCCCGCCACTGTCGTATGTGTGCTGTGTTAGTTGGTTATCACGTTTTATTGTATTGTTTTAGAGGAGAAGATAGTGCGTAACATACAATGCATCCATCCCAGCCCAAAACGCCGATGCGTGGGATGTACCTTGCTCTGATATGCTGAAAGTTGCGTGGCCGTTCTTTGATTTTTGTTCTTTCCGGTTTCGCTGTTACGATGTTCTTTGACTGCCTGGGTGTCCCTCGGGCGGCATTTTTCTCTTTTGGCGTATTGGAGAACTGTAGGATAGTCTACGTTTTAGACCTATTTCGAATGATCTGGTTGTGATTTCGAATGGTTCACGATTACTTTTACTTTCTTCGACTGTACTCGGAGTAGCATAATCACCTAGAGTTTGTACGTGTGTACCAAGTACGTGTACGGCACACGCCACGCCCACTGGCAGCGTTTAGCTGCCCCTATGTATGCCAATTGTTCGATCCGGTAACGTTCGATGTCCCTCCGGGATAGGACCTTGCGAGTGTGCCGCCCAGGCCCTCGGGGACTTTCAAGTAGAGCAAACGAAAATTTGTTTTTGTGTATTTATGTCATCTGCTGTTGCTTGTGCGCGCGCCTGTTCGTGTTCACCCCACCTCTTTCGTTGGCGGTTGTTTTCGATGTTGGAAGCAGATCGGGGTGGCGTGCTGGCTGGTGCCCTGTAGTCGATGCGATTGTTCCGCGTCATACACGTGTCTAGCGTACAAGTACCCCGGTAATTGCAGAACAGGAACTCGAAAATTGTAGTGAGTGAGTAAATGGTGGTGGTAGTGGGCTACCGGAGGAGGACCGCTGTGCAGGAGACGTAGCTGTGGAGGGGGCGCCACATGCCGCTTCTCCCCGCATGCCTCCCGTGAGAATTGTTGCTGCTCCCTCTCCGGTGCCCCCCGGTATTTATGTTTGTCCCTCTTTGTTTATTTCGTGGTTCATATTGTTTGGGTCTTGGGGAGGGGGGGGAGTTACACCTTGAGAGCTGTCGTCTTTGTTGGCTGTGAGGGACGGACACCGTTTTTTTTGTGTGTGTATCGTGGGTGGTCGTTCCTCTTGTGTTTAAACTTAAGGCGTTTTGGTGGCCGGACTTCTGCCGTCGTTGTTGTGTTCTCGTGATGAAGAGAGTCAGAAACAATTTCACGATTTTTGTTTTCCACCTTCCGTGTTTCTGCTAGTGTCTTGGCAACCGTTGGTGGGTCTACATTGTAAATCAGGAGAATCGTTGTGTAAGTTTTGAAGAAATCGCCATAAAATTTTGATTCAAAAACAAATCACCATTCAACACCAAATCTGGTGTGCGTTCGTGCTTGTGATTGGGTGTGTCTGTGCGACTCCTCAAACCACTCGGCGTTCCACGCGCAGCGCTCTGATCGGCAATATTCATGCCGTGTCCATACTCGTGTGATAGACTTCGCGGTCTGTTCGACGAAGGGCGCGGAGACTCTGTTCTCCTTTGGGCGTTAGTTGCGTTTGATCCTCAGTTTCCGAGCGAAGAGTGTTCTCTTTTTCGGTGAACGAACGACCACGTCGCGGGCATGTTTCTCAGGCACAATAGTTTTTGCCAGGGTGATTGATCACCGCCTGATCACACACACGCGCGGCAACATGAATGAGTTCACATTTGTCTGTTGTCGAAGAAAACCAAAGGCAACGGCGACGGATCCGACCGGCCTTTTTTTGTACGGCTGCACAGCCACGCATGTAGAGGGAGTTGCGCACTGATAAAGTCCTTCCCTGCGCAAGCAGCGTGCATCTGTTCCGACAACTTTTCCCCCCTTTGTCTTCCATTTCAACGATTTACCCACAGTCCTCGCAATGAGTACCGCAAGAAACCAAACTCATGCTCGGCCCGACCTTGAATGTATGAGGCCCAATCGGAGCTTGCCGGTGTTGTATAGAGGCTCGACATGAAACGTAAACCCAGTCTCTCTGTTTCACGGTCCCAGATCATCCCCTTCGTGTGTCCTCATCTTTGCGACAATGGCGATCCTTAGGTTTGGGCGTCGCTCCTGCTTTGCGTCTCACAAATTCGGTAGGCAAATTTGTTTTGTCCCACGTTTTTGTTCTCGGCCCCGTCCGTCTTTTGCGAAGGATAGGAAACAGAAAACGGCATCATGCGCCGTGTCCTCTGCGTGCCCTCTTGGCCAAGACGCCCCCCCTCCGATCAAACGCGAATAATTTTTCCGCGGGGACCCCCTATTTCCGGTGTACGTCTTCCTGTCGGAGGTTTGTTGCCTGTGTTTTTCTGCCAACCGCGTTGTCGATAATACCCTCCTATGTCGCAAAAAACAACTGCAGCTCTCCTTGGAAGTAGTTCTACAACCCCGTTCGAGAGAGTTACCCGAGTCGATCGGGGTTGTGGGTGAGCGGAGAAAGAACCTGCTGGTTACCTCTTGGCGTACTTGGAGTACCTAGCACTGAAAGATTCCGAATACAACAATTCCCACACGGCGAGAACAGCACAAATGACGTGTATCGCAGCCACGGACGGTGCTGTTGCCACGTGATGGCTCTGCTGCCGTCGCACCGCCCAAAGCTCGGATATTCATGCCCTTGGTTCGATCTAGCTCGTTTTCCTGTTCGTCTGTCGCGAAATTTCAAAGAAAACATAAATACAAATGACCACAAAATATTCCGGCGGGCGAGCAAATAAAACGTCCATGCAGCACAGCAAAGGATTTATCACAAGAACGTTGTGCCATCCCCGAATGTAGATTCGCACTCCCCTCTTCCTCCCTCCGCCGTAAATGCCGAATACGGGTACACCTTGCACACGCTTGTGCTCGATTACTGACTGCCCCGACGCGCAAAATTTACAGTGACATAGTGACATACGAAAGCACGATCACACCATGTGCGCATGCGTGCGTCTGAGACCCAAACAAAATAGCCCCAAAACCTCCGTCTCAAGGAGGAAAAGCAAGTGCGTGCAGAGCATGGTGGAAAAAGCCACGGTAATGACGTTCCTGCGGGGTCACCACCAGCGCGATGTTGGCAAGACTGAAAAACGATGGAAAAAAAGAAAGAAAGGTGGCGCCAAAACCCGATTTTCAACCATCGGCGACGCTACAAGACGCAAGACGCACGCGGCGTGCTGCGCAGCACATAACTCGCGCGTGTGCCGACAAACCACCACACGACAAACCAAACCTAGCGATCACGTACATTGACTTCGAAAATCCGGGTCGCCCGCTGCTGGAATCACCCCTCCCCCCCCCCCCCCCCCGACTTCCATGAGGGGATTCTGAGCGCCCTCCTCCCCACTCTCTCGTATCTCAACCCCGGTGCTACCGCTAATACAATGCATGCGCCTTCGCGGGACACCTCTAACGTCGCACCGGTTTGCCGCTGTTACCGCTAAAATGATGCCCGCGCCTTCGCCAAACACCTCTATCGTCGCACCGGTTTCCTGTCGCCTGTTCCCCCTCGAAATGCCAAGTGCCGCCCTCCCCTTTCTTACCTCCCGCCTCGAGAAGGCTGTTCTCCCCCCTCTCCATTCTCCCTCCAGACGCCAAGAAATGTACGACCGTCGTCGCCTCTAGGCGACCATAGCGAAAAGATGGCTGGAAATTACGACACCTTGGCGAGAACCACTCTGGCACGGTACAGCTCCAGGTGACGAGCGAGGATACCCAGGCGCTGATTGGCTAAGGCCAACATTCCAACTGGCACCCCAAGAACGAGAAGGCGCGCGTCGCATGATTGGCTGAGGCCAACATTCCAACTGGCACCCCAAGAACGAGAAGGCGCGTGTCACATAATTGGCTGAGACCAACATTCCAACTGGCACCCCAAGAACGAGAAGGCGCGTGTCGCATGATTGGCCGAGGTCAACACTCCAGCCGGCACCCCAACAACGAGAAGGCGCGTGTCGCATACGCCCACGTTCCTCTCCTCTCCAGCCCCCCTAGTAGTCGGCCTCGTCGCCTTCCCTAGCCCCCGCCCTTGCCGCCCCCTTCCCCAGCATCTTCATGGCGATGGAGTTAACCCCGGCCGAAGCTTTCGTGGGGTCCGATGGTGGTTCTCCGTCGAAGTTGAGGACGCCGTATTGGCTGGGAGATGTACGGTTTCACGGCGGCAGACGTTCGCGTTTTTCGTAAAATATTTAGTACTTGGAAGGGTAATGAGGAGACACCTGAACGGTTTTTACGCTTAGACAACAACAACAGCACTAACAACAACAGCACCGATAAGAGCAGCGTAAACAACAATAGTCGAATTTACGGAGAAAGGGGCGGGGGTTGGGTGGACAAGGGAAAAGTTGTGGTGCGCAAGCTTTGATGGGTGCCTGACTGGATGCCTGCCCCTTCCCACCACGTCCGACTGCTGAGATTACCACCACAGTTGAGAGCTGCATTCCGGAATCCCCACCTTAGCACGAAGGCTAGCGTGTCTTCGTGGAAGTCGTCCGTGCCACCCAGCTCCTCAAACCCGCGGATCTGATTCCACCAATATACAAGAAAGGAACACGCATTCGGAAAAAAGGAGAAGATGACGCTACAGCAGTGCAGGAAAATTTACGATCTGATTCCAATACGATTGTAGGAGGAAGGAGAATGCATTCGGGAAAACGGGAAGGAGAAAATAATGCAAGAGACAAAATGTAGGATCTGATTCCACCACGCTACAAGAAAGGAGCATGCACTCGGAAAAAAAGGAGAAGACGATCATGCAAACAGACAAAAGCATGGGTCCGATTCCAACAGGATAGACAAAAGGAGCATGCATTCGGAAAAAAGGAGACGCTGATGCAAACAGACAAAAGCATGGGTCCGATTCCAACAGGATAGACAAAAGGAGCATGCATTCGGAAAAAAGGAGACGACGATCATGCAAACAGAAAAAAGCATGGGTCTGATTCCAACAGGATAGACAAAAGGAGCATGCATTCGGAAAAAGGAGACGACGATCATGCAAACAGACAAAAGCATGGGTCCGATTCCAACAGGATAGACAAAAGAAGCATGCATTCGGAAAAAGGAGAAGACGATGATGCTACAGACACATTGACGGAATGTGCCTGCCTTGTTCACCCGGAAAGTGGTACATCTATCTGGTTCGTACGGAGTGCCACGGAACAGCACACAGGGTGTGGTGGACATTCAGGGCAGGTCGCTATTGCCGGCAGAGCGGCTACTAGGCTAGGTGCAGCAGTGGTGCCACCCGATTTTTGTGTTCGCTACAACAGAGCAATGACACAAAACAGGTGGACGCTAAACTTGGCCAGAGCACTTGGCTACAGTACTGCCGTGCGATGCGGTGCCGTCTATTACGCACACACCCCCACGCCAAAACGAACGTTCTTGCCTGGTGTATTGTGTGACCTCCCTTGATGAGAAGGATGGTAGGCATGACGAAGATGTTGAGCTTCTCGGTAAGGTACGGCGACTTCTCTGCGTCGATCTTGCAGAACTGCGACAAGGCAAAAACGATCCGTCACGTCACATCACGGCCGGTGCCAGCATGAAAAGCAAACGATCGAAAAACATTGTCCGTCGGGGGGGGGGGGGGGGGGGGGGGGGGCCCCCCCCTTTTTTTTTCCTTCCCTTACGGTTAAACCCTTTTCCCCCCCCCCCCCCAAAGAGGGGACCTTTTTTCCCCCAAACCCCATCCCCAGGGGGCATTGGGGGGGGGGGGGTTCCCCCCCCACAAAAAACCCCCCCCGGGGGGGACCACCCCCCCCCCTTCTTTTAAAAATTTTTTTTTTTTTAAAAACCCCCCCCCCCCCCCAAAATTATCCCCTTTTCAAAACCGCCACCCGAGGTTTTTTTTCTCTTTTTTTGGGGGGTGGGAAAAACCCCCCCCAACCCCCCGGGCCTATTTTTATAA